TTGAAAGAATTTGTAGCCAGTAGATCTGCCTTGCAAGAAATGTTAAAAGTTCTATAGAAAGAAGAAAAATAGTACAGGTCAGAAATTTGAAGAAAGGAAAATCATGGAAGAAAGAATAAGTAACGGTAAAAGAAAAATCTTATTTGTATTATTCTTAATTGATCTAACAGATAACAGTTTGTTCAAATAATAATAGCAATAATATATTTGATTATGTATCATTATATATATATATAGATATAGATGTATGCTTATGTATACATACATATAAGTGGAATGAATGACAGCAATAAAACAAGGGTCAAGAGTTAAAAATTAGGATTGTTTTGTTATTATATTTACACTACCTGTGAAGTGTATAGTGTTATTTGAAAGTGGACTTGCATTACTTATAAATATATATTGCAAACTCTATGGCAACCACTAAAAAAAGTAAAAAAAGAAATATATGTAAAATAACACAAAATGGAATCCTATAAAATGTTCAATTAAAACTACGTAAGACAGAAAAGGAATGGAAGACAAAAATAAGTACAAAGGATAAGGGCGACAAATAAAAACAGTAATGAATATGGTAGATATTAACACAACTATATCAATATACCAATTAAAAGACAATGAGAGTCGATCAAAAAACATGACTGAACTAGACTTACTGGAGTGATCACTTTGTAAGTTATATAAATGTCTAATCACTATGTTGTACACCTGAAACTAATATAATATTGCATGTCAAGTTTAATTTAAAAAAATTAAAAAAATCATTAAAAATACGCGACCCAACTATATGTTGTCTATAAGAAACCTACTTTAAATATAAAGACACATGTAAGTTAAAAGCAAGGGGATAGATCAAAATACACTATGCTAACACTAACCAAAAGAAAGCAAGAATGACTATATGAATTTCAGACAAAGTAGACTTCAAAGAAAGAAAAATTATCAGGGATAAAGAAGGGTATTACCTAATGATAAAGGGGTCAATTCTCCAAGAAGACATAATAATTCTTAACAAGAATGCACCTGATAACAGAACATCAAACTACAAGAAGTAAAAATTGATAGAACTGCAAAGAGAAAGATGAATTCACTATCATATTTGGAGACTTCAGCACCCCTCAGAAACAGAAGATCCAGTGGGCAGAAAATAAGTAAAGACATAGTTGAACTCAACAACACCATCAACCAACTGGATATAATTAACATCTATAGACTATTTCCTACAACAATAGCCGAATTTACTTTTTTCTCAAGCTCACATGGAACATTCAGCAAGACATAAACGATGCTTATTTTTTAAGACATAAACGATGCTTAAAAAAAAAAAAAGAAATCATATAATGTCTGTTCTCAGACCACAAGAGAATTTAACTAGAAATCAGTTACAGAAAGATATTTTGAAAAATTCAAAATATGTGCAAATTAAATAACACACTTCTAAATAACATCTGAGTCAAAGAAGAAATCTCAAGAGAAATTAAAAAATATTTTGATCAAAATGAAAATGAAAACATGATTTATCAAAATTTGTGAGATGTAGAGAAAACTGTTCTAGAGGGAAATCTGTAGCACTAAATGTATATGTTAGATAAAAAGAAATATTTTAAATAAATAATCTGATTCCACCTTAAAAACTAGAAAAAGAGCAAATTAAACCAAAAATAAATAGAAAAAACAAATAATAATTAGAGAATAAATGAATGAAATCTAAAATAGGAAATCAATAGAGAAAATCAATGAAACCATATGCTAGTTCTTTGAAAAGATCAATAAAATTGATAAACCTCTAGCTAAGCAAACTAATAAAAAAGATAGAGAACACAGATGACGCATATCAGAAATGAAAGAGGGACATCAGCACAGATCCCATGGAAATCAAAAGGATAATAAAAGAATACTATGAACAACTCTATGCAAATAAATGTGATATCCTAGATGAAATGGACCAATTTCTTGAAAGGTACAATCTGCCAAAACTCACACAAGAAGAAATAGATGATCTAAGTAGGCCGGAAATTGAATCAATAATCAATGAGCTTCACAAAGAGAAAACAGCAGATCCGTATGGGTTCACTGGGAAATTCTAGTACGGACTGTAATATACAAAAGTCAACAGCTTTCCTATATGTCAACAATGAACAAGTAGAATTTGGAATTTAAAACACAAGGCCATTTATATTAGCACCCCCCAAAAACATGAAGTACTTAGGTATAAATCTAACAATATGTACAAGATCTATATGAGGAAAACTACAAAACTCTGATAATAAAGTCACATAATAAATACATAAATGGAGATAGTCCATATTCATAGATAGACTCAATATCGTCAAGATGTCATCCTTCTCAATGTGACCTATAGATCCTATGCAATTCCAATCAAAATCCTAGTAAGTTATTTTATGGATATCAACAAACTGATTCTAAATTTTATATGGAGATGCAGACTCAGAACAGCCAGCTCAATATTGAAGGAGAAGAACAAAGTTGAAGGACTGACCTCCTGATTTTAAGATTTACTATAAAGTTATTACGGTAATTAAGACAGTGTGGTATTGGTGAAAGAATAAATAGATCATGGAATATAAGAGAGCCTAGAAATAGACTCAAGTAAATATAGTCAAGTGATCTTTGAGAAAGGAGCAAAGGCAATACAATGGAGCAAATATAGTCTCTTCAACAAATGGTGCTAGAAAAATTGGACATCCATACATAAAAAAACACTAATCTAGACAAAGACCTTACACTTTTCTCACAAACTAACTCAAAATGGATAGTAAATCTAATAGAAAACACAAAATTATAAAACTAGAAGTTAACATAAGAGAAAACCAAGATGACCCTGGGTATAGTGATGCCTTATTAGATATAATAGCAAAGACACAATTCATGAAAGAAATAATCAATAAACTGAACTTCATTAAAATTAAAATATTCTACTCTGTGAAGGACAATATCAAGGGAATTAGAAGATACTGACAGACTTGGAGACAATGTTTACAAAAGACACAACTGATAATAGACACATCTATTATTCAAAAAAATACAAAGAACTCTTAAAACTCAACAAGGAGAAAGCAAACAGCTCATTTAAAAAAATGGGCCAAAGACCTTAAGAGACACCTCACCAGAGAAGATATACAGATAGCAAGCAAGCATTTGAAAAGATGCATTCTATCATACATCATCAGGAAAATATAAACTAAAACTACAATGAGATACCACTATACTTGTATTATAGTGGCCAAAATCCAGGACTGACACCATCAAATGCTTGTGAGGATGTGGAATAACAGAAACACACATTCATTGTTGTTGGGAGTGCAAAATGGTACAACCACTTTGCAAGACAATTTGTTGATTTCTTACAGAACTAAATATACTCATGCCATAGGATCTAGCAATCGTGCTTCTTGGCATTTACCCATAAGAGTTGAAAACTTTATATCCACACTAAAACCTGCACCCAGATGCTTATATCAGCTTTATTTGTAATTGCCAAATCTTGGAAGCAACCAAGATGTCCTTCAGTAGGTGAATGGATAAATAAAATGTGGTACACCTAGACAGTGCAATATTTTTCAGTGCTAAAAAGAAGTGAGATATCAAGACATGGATAAATTTCAAATGCATATTACTAAGTAAAAGAAACAAATCTAAAAGGTCTACATACTCTATGATTACAATTCTATGACATTCTGGAAAAAGCAAAACCATTGAGAAAATAGATCAGTGGTTGCCAGGGGTAGGAAAGAGAGATGAATAGGGAGAACACAGAGGAATTTTAGGGCAGTGAGAATATTCTGTATAATATAATCATAGATATATGTCATTACGCTTTTGTGCAAACCCATAAAATGTACAACAGTAAGAGTGAACCCTAAGGTAAGCTATGGACTTTGGGTAGTTATGATATGTGAATGTAGGTTTATTCTTGTTAAAAAAGTACTATTCTAGTGAGTGATCTTGATAATGGAGGAGCCTATCTATGCATATGTGGTACAGGGGGTGTAAGAAAAATCTCTGTACCTTCCTGTCAATTTTTTTGTAAACCTAAAATTGCTTTTAAAAAAAGGTTAAAACTGAATATTGGATGATTTTATTTATATGAAATATCTGTAAAAGACAACATTGCAGAGATAGAGAGCTTTCTTTGAGATTGGGGGTGAGAGTGGGGGTTGACTGCAAAGGAACTTGAGGGAAATTTTGGAGATGAGAAAGTCATAAACCTGAAATGCGGTTATGATAGAAAATTCTATGAATTTTCAAAAAAGTTGTTGAAAGGCACACTTAAATGGGCAAGTTATGTGGTATGAACATTATACTTCAAAAAAGCTGTAAAAATATATTTCACATGTGAGATAGGTAAAAGTACTGTGGTCATGCTTCCTATGTTATCACAAGTATAACAAAGCTATGGTTGAGCAGAATAATAATACAGAAAATAGAATCAATATAAATTACCTAATCTTTTCTACTTAGTTGAATCACTTGATATCTCCAAACCATTAGAATTTACTTAAAAACATTCCATCTATTTAATAAGAATACATGAAAACATCCTTTGAAAAACAAAGAGAAATATTGTCCTAAATTTCAATTCGTAATTATTTACTTTTGCTTCTTGTTTTGTGGTCTTCACCTCACCTATTTTCAAGTTTTTAAATATGAATCATGAAATATATAAAGCTTTGATTCATAGAAGCAATACTGTTCTGGCTTAACCAGCAAAAGATGAGATGATAGAATTTTCCATTTTAAATTTTGTTTCCCAGTTCAGCATAAATTACAATCGCAAAACCAGTTACATATTCTTGCTTAATATGTATTACCTTTTCCTACTGGTCAGCGTGAAGTCAACAACAGATTCCTTATATAAACCAGCCCCTTCAATATTAATGACATCATCTACATCAGGTTCAGTAGCAATCAGTATTATGGGAAACTGCCAGATCCCATCTGTTATACACTCTATTTTCAGTGTAATTTCAGACCTTGAAAAGAAAAAGAGATTATAAAGAATACTACAGGAAAACAGGCAAAGAGAATACAATATAGCCAGATCAATCTTTAAGGTGAAAATGTAAGCAAACCTTGTGGTTTCATTAAAAGCACGGGGACTTTTAATTCTTAAAAAAATGTAAATGACTGTTAATTACACTTTAAGATTAATTTTTAGGTCACAGGTTATATTATCATTCTCCTTTTAGGTGTTTTGTAGCACATTTTATCTATGTTCTAGTTATTTACTAAGAACCAGTAAAATATGCAGAATTGACTGCAAATTTTCTATAACAAGCATTGAATATCAAAATATTTAAGAATCTAAGGGGAGGTTGACAAATGGACCTAAGTGTTATGCTAACAGATATTCCATACAGGGATTTTCTCTTCAGAAGGAAACATTATGAAAAGTTTTTTCAACACCTGATTTGCATAGACAAATTATATTTTCTGTGAACACTTAAAGCCCCATAAAATTGAGTTAAATTGAAGCTTTTAAAAAATTAAATTGTAATCAATAAAGACCACAAGCACCTTACACAATAACATGAGTGGCAGTTGAATTAATGAAGAGAGTAGAGATAGCCTTTCTAAGCCTTTGGATCTGAAGAAGAGTGGAAACATAGAGCAGTAGTTAAAATTGAGGAATGGTTATCCATTTGTTTGCTTAGGGTGGAAATGACTCAAACAGGCAATGATGTGGTTGCAATATCATGTCAGATTGGACAAAGAAATCACAATCCTCTTATGTAAAACTGTCTGAAAGAACAGTCTGGGAACTCTTATCCTCTTTAGATAGGACTGTAAACTTATTCAACCATTTAGGGAACAACTGGACAATACCTTACCAAATTCGAAAGTTGCACACACTAAACCAACAATTTCGCTATAGGTAATTTCTCCCAGAGGCAAGTCTCGAAGATTCAAGAAATGATATTATAAGGATGTTCACTGCTGCATTATTTATACTATCAAAAAACTGGTGCCAAATTAAAAAAAAATTCCTTCAATAGAATGCTGGTAACAACAATAAAGTGTATTGCACTGAAACAGTGGAATACTAACTTAGCCTATGATGACTGATATATATTATTGAACATATATGCAAAATGTAAACCCTAAACCTATACCTCTCTCACACTTTCCTATCTTAGTAAATAAAACTATATTCCTCTCAGCACTACTTCAAGAGCACTATTTCAATAACTGATCTCTCAGCTTCTACTCTTGCCATCTTCCAAGGAGGAGAGGACTTCTATACTTTCAAGCTATTTTATTTTGGTTTTTCTTATTTAACTCTGTATCTACTTTTGAACCACACCAAATTCATTTGGAGCAAGGAATAGCAGTCTTAGATGTATATGCACATAGAATTGTTAAGCGACATCAGATCATCAGCCAGCACTTAGAGAATTTTATAAATCATGTGCACAAGTTGCCCTAAATCAGTCCCCCAAAATTTATCCTTCAGTCATTTCCAATTGTTTCTAGCAAAAAAGACAAATTCACAGCCTCAAGACCCTATATGATCAGATCCTGGCTAAACTCTCTAACCTTACTTTCTCCTTTGCTCACTGCATTAAAGAAACGCTGGCCTCCTTACTATTCAGTGTTCACGCCCAACGTTCTCCTGTCCCATGGCCTATGTCTCAAATACTCTTTCAAGCTCTTCTTATCCATAAGGTCCTTGTTCAGACATCAAGTCTTCATGGAATCTTAACTGTCTGCTTATCTGATATACATCTATTTCTCCTTATTTATTTCCCTCTCGGGACAATCTGAAATGTTACTATTTACTTATACATTTAATTCTCTCTTACTTATTATTCTCACTAAGCTACATAATCAAAAAGTGCAGGAATCTCGTCTCTTTTGTAGATGCTAAATGATTTTTGAATATATGAATGAACATGTTCAAATGACCAATGTTGACTAACTTCATTCTGCAGGCCAATCTTTGGAGTTAGTGGAAGCCACTGAGTCACACCTTTTGTTCCATAGTGAGGAAGAGCACTCAATTTCAGGGATGACCATACGAACCATTTTATGGTCAATACTATGGATTCCTAACAATGTACATATGTGATATTTCTTATTACCAGTTATCTCCTCCAAACTCTGTGAAATATAACTTTGGGGGTCTCATTCCGTTCACCTCCTGAGCACCTAAAAAGTTTCAGGAGAAAGCTGAGCTAAGATAACTACTATTTTTAAAAGATAGCCTAAGACAAATGATATCTATCATTTCTCTATTTAAACCAAATGTTTAGACCTGTGTTAAATTAGAATCATCAGACTGATTCATGACAATATTAACTATTTTTCTCTTAAGCATTAGACCCTTGATTTTTATTATAAGAAAAAGTCAAGTTCTTTAGGAAAATTTTTTTTCTTTGTAAAACTACCACTTAGAGCCTTGAACATTATTATGTACAGCACTATTCTGTAAAAGGATGGATGCTAAAAATTACCTTGTATTTATTGTTGTGAAACAATATTATATTTTTCTTTAACCAAAACATGACAGTTTTGTTTTTTCTCCTTGCCAATAAGGAAGAGTAGAATTTAATTTAATACTTATTTTAATTATCTAGGTAAAGCACGATTTGGGTGTAATTACTTTTTATTCTTCTTTGTCATAGTTTAGAGCTATTGGTTTTAGTTTGGTTTTTCTCATTTAACTGTGTCTTGCAGTGAACCATCCAAAATATATATGGAAGAAGAAATGACAAAAGTGAATGAATTTACAAATATGCACAAAATAGAATCATTATGTTAGACAGACATGAGCGACAGGGGAACAAAGGAACAAAGGCCCACCCCAGAGACCTTCCTTATGCCCTCCCTGGAACACCCATTTTATAGTTATGTATCACCCCTGCATCCTGAGTAATGAAAGAATGAAGGACCATAATACTATAGCTAGGTTTAATCCAGCACAGACACTTGTGCAATAAGGACTACTCTAACCCTTGTTTCACCTCAGCCTCATTACACCATCATTATAATATCATGCTTATGCCTGGAAGTTCATGAATCTAATTATAACAGACTGAATTCTGGGTAACCCCATGCACAGTAGGCAGAGTTACATAATAGCCAAATGTCAATCAAAATGACCTCACATGCCAATCATCTAGGAACACCCTTGTAACCTCCCATCATGGCCCAAATATAAACAGACCTTCCCACTTCTGTACTGTTATAGCCCTCCCTGTAATCTGCCCCTCACCTGGAGCATGCTCTATTCTTTTTACCTCCTGAATTCCATGGGGTTGCAGCCTTCCTTGGTGTGACCCTTCTCCTTCTAAAATGTACTTTCAATAAATCTTACTTTTTCTAAATCTCACTGACCTATAATTCTTTACTGCATTGGCAGGGAAGCACCGAGGATCCCCTTTATGCTGCTGGGGTGATGGTGGATTTCACATTACCCCGTGTGGTAGCAAATAAACTACATCAGAACATCACGCAACATTCATAAAAGTTTGTAAATCACACATACAAGTTGTCCTAAATCAGTTTCTCAAATATTCACCAAGAAGCTCTAAATCCACAAACTATTAAATGAGTATAAATTTACATTGGTTCTGCTCATATTCATTAATGAAAACATTTTCCCTTTCTGGTTGTTGCTTGTAATTTCCATACCACTAAATTAAAACAATACAAACCTAAATGTATAAAAATACTAACAAATAAATATAGAAAACTATGAAAATGAAAGAGAAGATAAAAGAGGGTAACGTCAATGTTTATAGTATACTTTCTTCTTGCAGCTTGATTTTATTACTACTTCCTGAAGATGACCCTATCTTTTATTTTTTGGACTACATATTCAAAGCTACTTTAAATACACGCCTGGCTACATCAGATACATAGCTAAACTACAGAAAATTTTAAAAGCACAAGTAATACTTGAAATTGTTTTTTTTCATTGTCAATTTGTATTTTGTATTTTGTGTATACTGTGGTTCTGATCAGTATCTCTGCATTCAGATATAAATAAAACCCTATTTCAGATGCAATCTATCATACAGGATTTGCAGGTACGACGTAACAGTTGCCTAAAAAGTAAAAGTAAAGACACTGAATGAGGCTTCCCAGCGTATAGACATTCAAAGCTCGCTATTCTAACATTCCAATACAATCCTCTTACACTTTACTAACGGATGTGCAATGTTATGGTTTTATGTGGTAAAAGGGTAATAACAGCAATTGCAAAGTAGAACATAGTTTAGGCATTTTCATCATTTGAACTAGTTTTGAGAAGTATCAAGAAATATTATGTTGCAATGTATAGTGCCAAGTCAGTATTTTTTTTTTAATTTTACAAAGCAGACTGCTCTCTTTTGTTATTATTATACCCTAATGACTTTAGAGAGATCACAATTCAGGAAGATATCTTAGATTTCTAACCATTTGGACTCTTTTTTTCTCATCAGAACACTTTTCATAGCTTGATAGCTAGAAATAATCTAGCCCAAAATATTTACCTCAATAGCATCAAAGAAGTAATACAAACCAAATATAGAAAGATGGAAAGAAAAATCAATATTATTTAGTTTAAAAAAGTAATACAATTTAGTTTAAAAGAGAAATTATATTGTTTAAAGAAAAAAGGAATAAAAGGGGGTTTACCTTAATGGTTTCTTTGGTGAAAATATCAGGTTGAAAGCCAATGTTATCATTTCAGCCCGGATATTATAAGATTTCTTCATCAAATATAAAGCCACAGTGGATTGCAAGTTAGACCTCATAACTTCAGATTCAAATATAATTTCATATTCAAATTCACGTTTTATAGGTATACCTAGGAAAATCAAGATTAAAATCCATTTCAATTTAATTAAATACGTATAGATTGAACATCAGGTAGGTTACATAACACTAACCATGCACAGGTATTTATAAGGAGGGAGAGGGTATATGTTATTTAGCTTTGTGTTCATAATGCCTAGTGTATTTACCAGGTATATAGTAGTACTCGGTATGATTTTATTAAATAGTAAATATATAAATAAATGAATATAAAAAAAAAAAACCTGCCAAAGACAATTCCTACCATCCTTAAATCTTTAAAATATTCAGATTTATGAAATAAGAAATAGCCAAGTGGAAATTAATAATATTTACTATAGTAAATCAACATTTACTATAAAATACAAATATGGCATGCTCTATATAATAAATGTACTAAAGACATGTACCTATAAACATGTAATTTGTAAAGAAATATTTGAATTAATTTTAAACAATATTAAACCAGCATTCCAATCTTTTAGGACAGGATTTTCAAGTTCCGGTTTATTTTGATAAAAGAGAAAGTTCTTCATGTTTTAGTCTTGGACAATATGCTTAACCATATATTCTTAACTAGTAGGTTACCAGAGGAAAGTTACAGCAAGGTTTTGTTAGGTACTAGCGAAAATTACCTTACTAGTACAGACAATATGCTTAACCATATATTCTTAACTAGTAGGTTACCAGAGGAAAGTTACAGCAAGGTTTTGTTAGGTACTAGCGAAAATTACCTTACTAGTACAGACAATATGCTTAACCATATATTCTTAACTAGTAGGTTACCAGAGGAAAGTTACAGCAAGGTTTTGTTAGGTACTAGCGAAAATTACCTTAAAGCCAGGACTGGCATATAGAAGCGAAGCACAAACACCTATTATATTTATTCTCCATGTACATGTAAGGAGCCCAAATTCCAAACCAAGGAGTTCAGTGCATGTGGGTCACAGAAAAGAGGTCAGAGAACCATGACTTTACCTGGTCCACAGCTGAGCTAATTTCTAAGGTCTGTCTCTAGTGTATAAAGGTAAAAGTGATCCGTGGGTTCACAAAAGTGATGGCTACCTTTCTTTAAGCAATCCTAATAGAAACCACCTTTCAGAAATAGTTGATTATAATTTCTACAATAGAATTCTGAAAAGAAGCTTGGCTGCAACAAGCCCAAGTCATATTTAATGATTACTTAGCTAACCTTATTAATGCAAAATAACTGACTGACCCACACCCTCACAAGATCTCTTTTTTCTTTTTCCACATGTAAAAATAAGTCTGACCTTCTGAATTGCTGGTTTTCATTGTATTGATAAATTGGCAATTGTCGTTCTCATTGATAACCATTCTTCGCTATAGCTAAATCAATGTCTACATATAATATGTCTATTTGTTTTGGGGATGGGATATGAAAATGTTCCACAGGAGGCCATACTCCATACAGAGAAACAAAATTTAAAAATTTTAAGTATTTAATGAGAGATGAAATTTCCATTGCATTCAAATAACATACTATTTTTAAAAGCAATTACTGTATATAGTTGAGATTCGCATCTGTTTTTGCTTAATTATTGAAGCTTTTATGGCAATGGTTGGATCAGAATTAAGATAGGAAATGAGAAGTTAAATTTAGTTTCAGAAGCACTGAATCCACTGTGGGGAAATCTGTTACTTGGATGTCATAATTCCAATTCTAAGATCCATTGGTACAAAACAAAGATATGCTTATCATCTAGGAAGCAGAGTGTGAGGATGAGGCAAATAGGAACCACATGAATATATTTTTCAAACTACACATAACCCCTTTGTCTGTAACTCAAATATACTGATATACGCATCTAAGGGAAATAGAATCAGGTCAGACCATATCATGATAAACTGGCATTCTGTATTGTGTCTTAAAGCTGATCTGTTAGAGTCTCTGCATATTATTGGAAAAGTCATATTACCAAGTAAGAAACAGGCCTTTTGCTAGGTTCCTAACTTGGAATCAATCTATACAGTAATTTTATATGGACTGGATTGATATGAGCTGTCATTTAGGTCAGTGTAAATTAATTATCATCTGAATGTTCGATAAAATTAACATCATGACAAGCATAGCTTAGAACTTCAAGAAAATACCTGAATATTTCTTAAAAAAAAAGCAAGTCTTTAAATAGATGTAGTTTCCCATAGTACACATTACAATTTCAAAGTTACAAGTCAAACGTCCTTGAGACTACTGTAACAATTTTTCCAATATTGGAGAAAAATTTTGTCCCTGTAGAGCAAATCCTTAAAAAGACACTTGAATCCATGAAATTAATAGTCAGAGTAAATATATATTTAACTTCAATTGTGTTTTAACAGGTATGTAAATATTTACTAACCTCTTTTTATTCTCTTACAATATATAATGGTTATCACAGGCTTGTTTAAAAAAACAAAAAAAAAACAAAAAAACATTTTCAATTGTCTCCCATTCCCTGAAGATTTTCATGAACCACTAAGACTTGTAGGTTTTGCCTCAATTAAACTTTCTAGCTTTGGCTAAATTCATGAATATGAGGCAGATAATTGAGTTTCTACAGCCAACATCTAAACATACTTTAAAAATATAACATTTTTTTCTTATCTATATTTTAATTTCTTTAGTCATTCAGCAAATAATTGAAAGCTTTCCTCGAAATCACAAGTATGGTTCTTATCCTCATGCTTATGATTGACAGGAGAGAACTGCTAATAAACTACCAATCGTACCATTAGTTTTAAAAATATTACTGTGATAACTGCTATTATGGAGAAGTAAAGGAGGCTATGAAAGCATAGGTTCTAGGCATCTGACTGCTAAGGTCCTGAGGAGAAGACCAATATACCAAACTGAAAGGTGATATGGGTTACCAGGATGTAGAGAGAAAGAAAATGCCTCCTAGGCTTCAGAGAAGTATGGAGAATTTCCCATGGTAGAAACCAACTTAGCCCATTTGAGGAAGAACTTATGTGAGTGGAGCAGAGATAGTGGGAAGAACCTATCAATAGATGTAGTGGGCAAAGTTGGCAAGACCGTGTGGAGCACTGAGGATCTGGGACTTCTAAGAATAACAGGATGCCACTAAATGTTTGAAGTATGGAAGTGATGTGCTCATTTAAGGTAAATTGAGCAAAAAGAGATTAGAAGAGAAGTTAATGAAGTTTTTCCGGTAGTTCAGGCCAGGTGGTGGCTGGACAAGGGTGAGAGGAAGATGTAGATTAAGATCAAGAAATGCCCAGCTATGTATAAAGCAGGAGTTACCTGAGCAGTCATGACTGGTAAGTAGAATCACTGAGCTTATTACTTCAGTACTATATTCATACCCTTAACATATATACAGAATATTTAATCAAACAGGCTTCAGAGAATTTCAGAGTATGATATATTTATATCTACATCTTCATCTATATCTATATCTATATCTATATCTATTTATCTATCTATAGTGTCATAAAATAATAATGGTAACAATCACTTAGGTATGGCAGCAAAGCCATTACATTGAACAGAGGGATGTATTTCCCATCCAGATATTGTTCCTGAATAATTATCATTCAACTTAATGTCTGGATCATAATGCCAATAAATCATGCAGTGAGAACTTCTGGCCAAGGGTTCCTGTTATTTGGGTGAATTTTCTCAGGACAATGACTGAAATTTACTTAATGTGGAAGAATAACAGTAATTTTTAAAAAGAAAACTTGACTAAATATAATAATCAAAGGGTACTGAATTATAAAAAATTTATTTCCAAAATATACTTTAAAATTATGTATTATTATACCACAAATATTTTAATCTGTAAGAAACACATTTCATAGCAAACCCAACAAAATGTCTCAATTATGGAGAAATGAATATCAAAGTATAATAAATATTGTTATTCATGTTATTTCCTTAAATTTCTGTAGTTCTCTCTTCCTTAATAATAGACATATACATTTATTTGACAGAATATGATAATTGCATAAAGAATGAATGGGGCAATAAGACAAATTTGAAATAGGATGAAGACAACAAGGTATTCAAAGAAAACAGAGGATTCTAGATAAACTACCCAGAGCTATTTTCTTTGAATAGATAATGAAGAATGTGCCATCTGCACTCTCTTATATTTTTATAAAATTGCAGATCTTTGTGAAGGCATATCTCATTTACATATTTTACTTCACTTTCATAAGGTAATTTAATAGATCAAACATTTTGATTAACTTAAAATAACTGTATGTTCCTCTGATATGACTGCAAGTACAATATACTACGAAATAAAAATTAAAGGAAGAAAGTGACCACACAGCTGATGCTTTTCTTACATTTTATTTTAAACAGGATACCAGGAATAAAAGATAAAGGGACTAATTATAACATAAATATTTTACCTGAGCTTTTAGCAATTAGCATCCAATTTCAGACTCTATCCAAGATTTAGGTACCATATTTTTATACTTTCTTTTTGATAGATTATTCTTTTATGTATTAATGAGAAAACTGAATGACATTGAGAGGACCATGTTTCCTTCTCAAAACATCATGCAGTGACTGAAGATGGGCCATCTAGTACATTACTATCACAAAAAATCCAACTACAGCTTTACATGATAATAATGGTAATAGCTAACACTTATGGAACATTTATTGAGCACCAAGTACTTTTAAGGATTCCATACATTTACACTTAATCTTCAAAAATAGCCTATAAAGTAGATACCATTAATGTCTCTATAGCTGAAGAAAACTGAGTTAAAGAGAGGTAATGTAATTTTCTCAAGGCCCTACAGAGACTAAATGGAAGAACCCAAGCTGTCTCATTTTAGACTTCACAATCTAGAATATCAGGCCTGTCCTATGGCCCAATTGCTGAGCAGATGCCATCAGTATCATCATCTGGAAGTGTGCAGGACCTAACTTGTGCAAAGAAGTATGGTGGCCCTCAGGGCAAAGCCCTGGGTCACTCAAACATTTAGATTCCACTCAGAGGAAGAGGAGCCAACAACAGAGATTGAGAAGGC